ATAATTCTGCAGCGTCGTGAACCAACGGCACCCCTCGCCAGAGGAGAAAAAGACGTAAAAACACATGCACCAGCTTGCCACACCGTAGACCCAAGCCAGTGTGTACATTAAACGGTACACGGCATCCATCTTCCCCTTTTTCTTCGCCACCTTTCGGTCCCAATTCGCCAGAAAACCAAAAAAAAAAAAAGAAGAGACGCGTAGAGAAAACACGAGTAACACACGTCTGTTACTCAGCCACTGAAGAGAGGAAGACAACACGTACTCATATACATTTCCCCCTCACGCCAACCTTTCTCTCCCTCCTCCCCTTTCCTTCCCAGATCCTTTCTTCTCCCTCATGCGCGTGAGAAATCTCTCGTATGCCGTAAGTTCATCTTTGGCTTGCACCAACAACTTTTCCGTTTCTTTAAGACGCCGCTCACGATCAATGAAGCCGTGCGCCACCTCATTGCATTGCCTGCGATCCTGCTCGAGAGTCGCCCGAACTACCATCAGCTTTGCCTGCTCAGCCTTGAGTGCCGTACTCTCAGCAGCGACAGCCTCCTCCGCAAGACGAGTTTCCTTCGAACGGGCGTTCAACTCCTCCTCCATCCTCGTCAGTTGTACCCGCCGCTCCTCCAACTTTGCAGCTTCGACCAGCAGGGCCATTCGCTGCCTCTCCAGCTCCGCTTCTATCGTCCGCATCTCGTTCTGTTGCTCCGATTTGCTCTTCAGAAGATCAGCCTCCGCACTCTCCATTACGCGTGCCCGCGCCTCCAACGCCTCCTCACGCTGGTGAAGTTCGTTACTTTTGCGGCTCAAATCCACCGCGGTGGAAAAAAGGGCTGCTTCTATCGACACCAACCCCCGCCAAATAGCGTCAAGGCCGGCTCCCTCCAGCAGCGGCAAAGATTGCCTCCCCTTTGCCTGAGCCCCCGATCCCTCCTTGCGCTTGCCAACCGGTGTTGTATCACCCGCAAGCTGTCGTCTATCGGTAAGAAAGCTTGCTACACATTCCCGCAATTTTTCGGGATTCACCGCCGTCTGTTGCCCTCTCAAGAAACTAAGCGCGATCGTCCCGTCATCCAGTCCCTCCTCCTGGAGAATGCCCTCCACCTCGTTCTGTAATCTCAGCCTGGCCGTGGCGTCGTTCAGCGATACGCCACCCTTCCGTGCAAGTTGATTAAAAAGAAGATGTGCAGTTGCAGGCCGGGCGTGTTCGGAATCGGAAGGAATATCAACCCCAAAGTGTCGACAGAAGTCAATTACCTTCCACGAGATACTCATCGCAGTCCTTGAAAAAAAACACCTGTAGATGTGTGTGTGTGTGTGTGTGTGTGCATGGGTGAGTGTAAACAGAAAAAAGGTTAGAGGTGTTCAAAGCAATGCGTGCCCCAATGTGTGGCACTCCCAAGAAACGTGATGCAAGAAATACAAATAGTTTACCCTCCATTTCCATCAGCAGCCTTCCTCAGGACCCAACTCCCTAATAAACTCCCTCGCCCGCAGAATACACTGACGCTGCAAGAAACTACCGCTGCTATTGTTAACATTATCCAATTTGGACCGCAACGCCTTCTTTTGGCTCACGTTGCTGCGCCAAAACCTTCTGAGTAGCTCAAGGGTTTCTCGGTTGGTGCTCTCTTTTGGCATCACCCAAGAAACAGATGGCGGCCGGGAAACCTCCTTAAAGGCATGCGGGGGGTGAACATCGCATCGTCGGCTCTTCCCAACTCGGCGTGATGTTATCGGCTGCCCACAAAAAAGACGTGCGTGGAAGTACGGCCCCACCGACTGCGACGCCTCTGCGGGGCCCAATTCGTGCAGAACGGACGACCTCACTTTGGGAAGGGCCCTGCCTGACATGACATTGATGCTCGATAGACCCATCTCTTCTCCTCCAGCAGGAGCAGGCGCCGCCGTCTCCTCCGGCTCCAGCTCCCGCATTTCTTCCTCCAGAAAGGTGCGTGAGAAGCAGAAGTACTTTCGCACCACCGCCTCCCAAAAACGTTGCCTTGTCTCCTCATCCGTCACCCTGCGCTCAAATATTTTCGCAAGGACCGGCAACTGGCGAAAAATATCGCTTTCCAACTGGTCCGTTATGGGGCAGAGTTTGAATGTCTTCGGGTCGAAAAGCGAGCCAATGGCGTCAAAGGCCACCACAACACCGCGTGGAAACTCCTCCTTGATCAGTGCATCCAACGCCGCCTCGTCAAGCAGGCCCAAATCCACAGCCGTCTGGCAGATGGTGGATGCCACCCACTGCCCACCGTCTCCCCCAGCAGACTCCATGCTTTGCAACTCGTCAATGAACCGCTCCCGGTCGTGGGGATCTACAAAACGCATCGTGATGCTCTTGGAGCCAACAACAACCTTCGCGGATGCCTGATCCCGCCGGGAACGCAGCAGCTGGTTGATTTCAGAACGTGAAAAAACAGAAGCTGGAGCGGCCCCATCTCCCTCCAAGGGTGTGCATGAAATCACGTATCCCCTCACCTCCACACGGCATGGCACACCGTCACACACCACCTCCATCTTATTGGAAAACAAGCAAACAAAAAAAAAAAAAAAAAAAGGGAGGGGGGGGGGGGGGCGGATGTATGCAATTATGCGCGCACGCATGTGTGAATAACAATAGAAATAATAACACATGATGAAACGTGCAAAAAAAAAAAACTCACTTTTTAAAAATGGTGAAAGTTTGAGAGTCGTCATTATCTTCACACGACGTTGCACATTGTGCAGCATAAACGCATATAAATATATACCCCCCCCCCCAAAAAAAAAAAAAGAGAAAAGAAAAAAGAAAAAAGCAAAACCTGTTTTTTTCTTTTTTCTTTTTTCCCCTGTTTCTTTCTGTTATTTCACTCTTCCACTCCTGCGCTTCCGTCAGTGTCCTCCCACAGGGGGGGGGGGGGGATGATACATAATTACATTGTTGGAATGGCTCAAGGGTAGCCACACACACACACATACAAAAAAAAAAAAAAGAGACTCTCTCTCTCTCTCTCTCTCTACATATTCGTCTGTATTTCTTTGATGTCCTTCACGCCATGCTGTAACAACACATCCCGAACGGCAACGAAATCATGGAGATTTAATACCAAAGAATCCGGAATTTCAATGGTCTCCGCCGTATCGTCTGTGTGAATCACTGTGACATGTCGTCTTGGTCGTCCACTTCTGTAGGCGTCAGTCTCTGGTATCGTCCAGGACCGTTGCACCGTCGTCACAAATCGCTCATCGTTTTCAATGGCTGGTGAGACATCCGTGTAATACGCTACAAAGTCCTCTAGAGTCACTGTAGAAGTGTCATTCTTTCCAGGCCAACAGTTAATAAAATCAAATATGGCCTCCTCGCAACTTATAACGCCCTCCTCAACGTCAGGCTGTAAAAAGACGTTAAACTTGAAAAGGTTCAGCATGTCCTTGTACTCGACGGACCCACCGCCCTCAATGGTAAGCAGCTGGAAGGCACAGATGACCGCGTCAAGACGATGGGGCGGCAATTCCCCCCGCAGTTCACGAAGGAGCTGCTGAGCAACAATGAGACCATTCCCGTCACGATCAAAACGTTTAAAAATGGCATCCAACTCCATCGGTTGAATTGCCACTCCCATGAGACGGATACTGTGGTGGATCTGCTCACGGTTGAGCAGAGTCGTGCGTTGTTCATTGCACGCGGTTCCCAGGGCCTTCGACAGCGTACGGAAGCCCAATCGGCCGCCAAAGCGCAGCGAGCCCTCACGAATACGCGCCATGATAAGTTCCAACCCAATGCCGCTGCTCATCGACAACATTTTATTGGAAAGACCAGAAGAAGACTTCAGCGATGTGTTCACAGATGCCGGTATATTCGTCCGGGCCTTGTGCGTTGAGCCTCCAATTATAAACAAATTTTCAGGATGCAATGCCACAGCAGCCAGCGACCTGGAGTGTTTGTTACCCGAAAAGGCGCAACTCACCTCAAACTCGTATCCAAACGACGTATTTTTTAAACTCTTGGTGCAACAAATAGGCCGATTCGTAGAAGCGTGAAACAAGGCAACCGCATCGCCCAAACGCACAGGGCCGCCATCGCGGATGTCATCACGTTTTTCACCAGGTTTCACAATAACAAACACGTTATCTTTGTTTGCGCCAAGTACCGCCGTCAGTGGCTGTTTACCCGGGTGGCCAATGTCGAGAACCCCGGAATTTAGATAACAGAAGCCGTCCAAAGAGGCCTCTTCGTTGGCAATACGCACATGCTGACCGTAATGTAGCACATTTTCCTCCTTTAGCTGCTTTGTGTAGGCGATATTGTTCTCGTCCTTTGCTCGGTGAAGAACCCATGTGGAGCGCACCTGCGGTTGAGGGGTGTCCACCGCGGTCACTAAATAATGATTCGGCTTTGGGGAAAATTTTGGTGCCATATCCAGAGCCAACGCTGCCTCGGTGGCGACATTCACCAATTGAAGTGACTGGCCAAGCAGAACAAAGTCCTTCAACCCGTCCAAATACGTCTCCTCGCTCAGATTCAACGTTGCACCCCAATGCGTCTTATCTGTTTGGTACGAAGACCTGTAAAATGTTACCTTATCCTCCCGGACACGCATCTCCTCGTACCAGTTGCCGATAAGTACCCCTGGGGAGTACCGCATTGGTATGCCCTCCGCATCCATCTCTTTCCCTTCCTTTCCGGAAAGAAATATAACACGGCCAGCCGCCGCAGGAAAATTATTTGCATCAATGAGAATAGCACAAAGGAATAAAAGTCATTAGTCCAAAAAAGAAAAAAAAAAGTGGAGAATCGGTGGTGGCCAGTGGGAGAAGATGCCTCCACGCAACACAAGCAGCACACACACATACACACACCAAAAAAAAAAAAAAAAAAAAGCAAGGATGCGTGAGAAACAATGAAGAAAGAGGAAGGCGGCATGCTTGTCCCCATGCCAGTATGCCGTAAAGCACGAGGATGAGCGGGCTCTTATTGTCGCTGTGTTTCTCCTTCTCCCTCCCGCGACGATGTGCAGCCATTACAGCCTCCCACAGTCCACGATGGTTACCCTGCGCGAGGGGAAGCCAGAAGGCGTCAACGGCACGCGCTCAATTTCCTCAACGGCGTCAAACCCCTTAACAACACGCCCAAAACAAATGCACGTCCCGTTTAAGTGAGGAGCCTCTTTTGCCGTGAGAATAAAAAACTGAGAGCCGTTGAGATGAGGCGCACTCACCGCCGTGCCAACAAGACCGCGTTGGTCAAAAACCGATGAACTCACTTCATCCGGAGCATCAAATGTTTCGCCGTATATAGACAGCTGCTCTGTTCCTTGGCCACTCACAACATCCCCGCCCTGAATAAGATAGCCCCTGTGCACACGATGAAAGGTAGAATTCTTGTAAGTGACTTGCGGAAGAAATTGGTCCCCAAACGAGGGGTCGCCCATGCCGGCGGTGCTTGGCACACGCGGCAAGACGTTTTCCCCCGTACAAAGCTTCACAAAGTTTTCCACAGCCACAGGGCACTTGCGAGTAAAGAGTTCGTATTCAATTCTTTTGGGCGAGCAGGAGCCAATTGCGACATCCATAAAAACACGTCCGGCAGACGCCAAATGGTGCCTGCTTGAATGCAACATCTTCTTAATTCCTTCAAAAAAAAAAGAAAGAAAAAAAAGAAAAACGCATACATGCAAAAAAAAATAAAAATAAAAAAAAAAGAATAGAAAAAGGCACAAAAACAGTGAACGCAAAAACATATGCGTCGGCCACCCCTTTTCACTTTTCGTCCTCCCTCTCCGTTGAGAGCCATTGCTTCCCATGTCATTTTCCCCCATTCTTTTTTTCGTTGTTGTTTGTTGTTGTTTTTGTTGTTTATTCGTATGTATCCTTTGCCTTCTCGTCTCGAAATTCTAATGTATTTATCTATATGTCTATATTTATACGCGTTGGTGCGTGTTTTCTATGGAAGTTCCTTTCGTATGACCTGAATGCGTGCTTATCCCGTGATGAGTTTTTTTTCGCTGCCGAAGCACCCTTCTTCTTGTTGTTGTTGTTTGGCTCTTTTGATTGACGGTCATTCATTGCCCTATGCCACCTCGGCGGCCAAATTGTGGAGCTCGTCGGGGGACAGTTGGCCGCTTACCAGACCGTTGGCGATGTGCTCATCCGCGTGATGCCACGACCAGCCAGGCTCCATCGACACCTCCCGCCAGTCTTCCCACTCATAGTAGTTGACGCACACAAAGGCATTTTCGGGTGACAACGTCTTTATTCGCCCTGGCTTCAGCCGTGCAATTTCGTCTATGGTGTGTGCGTAAAGGGGGGCGGCCTTTCCGCCAAGGCACCAGCCAATTAAGTGATTCTTATGAACCACCATGGGCGGGCACGTCGGGCCATCGCCCGCCACCCGGAATGAGAGGGAGCGCAGGTGGCGCATCACTCGCTTCACGCCTGGGGAGCCCAAAGGAGCCGCCTCGTGAGGCATGGAGCCGTAGTGCGTGCCCGGCCGAGGGCTGACCACGAGTCCCAGCACACCACTGGGACGGTGGAGCAGCCAAACAGCACGCCGAACGTCATTGGCCGACTGCGAGAGGAGAAGGTTCGGGGCCGGTGACCGTTGTTCCAGGGACAAACCCCCGCACTTGGCGGCCCGCAACACACCGCCCCGATTAGCGGCTGCGTTCATGCGAGAATAACTCAGGACGGCCTGATATGCCCACGGCATCGCGCTATTCGCCATGGCTACCCGCAATTTCCAGCGAAGAAGCCCACCCACTCCGGCCCTCTTTTCTTTTCACAGGTTTGCCTAATACACCCGGTTGGGACGAGCACCAGGCAAGCCAAAAAAAAAAAAAAAAAACCTTCAAAAATAATTATAAACAGACCAAAAATGAAATAAAAAACAAAAAGGAAGGATGTGCTTGAACTGACAAGAGACGGGTGAAGGAAAGAGATCCGAACAGGGGAGTTCCCTTCCTTTCCACAAGGTCAGCACTCAAAAAGCGCATGCACAGCAGCACACAAACACACCACTGACCAAAAAAAAAAAAAAAAAAAACCTGGAGCTCAACCCACACCACTGCTAACAACAAGTAGAAAATAACAGTTTTTACCAAACGACATACACAGATACACATAAATACAAAAAAAAAAAAAATATTTAAGTAGGAAGGCAATAACCGACACGTGAAATGCTGTTTTGCCTCACCATTTACCAATAAAGGGGTCTAAAGAGGCAAATGCATCATTTTGTGGCTCGCTTTTTGTTTTCACTGGCTCCGTTTTCGTTGATTCAGGAGAATTGAAATTTCCCCACGGATTTGCGGGAAGTTCCTGAAAGAAGTCCACCCCGCACATATTCATCAGCGTCGCAGAACCCCCTGAAGGCGTCTGGCCCTGAGCAGTCGGTGCTTGGTAGGGCACGCCATTGGGCCCCGCTGGAGGACCCATAGAAAAGGCATATTGAAATTGTTGTGGTTGTGGTTGTGGTTGTGGCTGTGGTTGTGGCTGAAAGAAATTACCACGTGTCATTCCGCCGTATCCCTCTTGCTGCACGCCAAATGGACCCTGAAATCCGGGCTGAGATAACATGTTTGGCGAATACTCCATTTGTCCAGCAGATAATGGTTGAGAAGTCGAGTAGGGTACAGGCCCCATTGTAACGCCCGGGGGAATGGAAACCGGAATATTGACGTGCGGATTTCCAGAGGTAACGGAATTGAGCCAGCCATCGAGCGGCCTCTGTGTAGTGGGAACATCTGCCGTGACGCTGGAAGCAGGCGGTGCGGCAGCGGCTACAAAGTCGGCAAAGAAATCGTCATCTGTTGTAGGCGCAGAAACATTGACGGGAGCAGATGACGAAGTTTGTGGCGTCGACTGTTCAAATAACTCCACCTGCGGCCTCGGAGCGGAAGACAAATCCTGCAACCCCGTCGAAGAGGACGGTGGCTCTAGCGGCAATGGCTTTTCTTTTGTTGGCTGCTCCGGCGGCAACGATGTCAGTGGCCGCTGCGGCCCGTGCTCCGGTAAAGGCAGATTCATCGTGTGTGGCAAATGGCAGCAGGGCGCTCCGGTGCCAACTGCCTTCAAATCATTTTGAAATCGCTCCAATTCCTCACGATTGACGTATGCCATGTTTTCAAAAGCACTCACAATAAAGTCCCTGACGGCAATATCGCTGCCGTGTGGGGGCTTATTATTCTCATAGCTGGCGAGCCACACCCTCGCCGCCCTGTCGTTGCCGCCGACGTTCAAGCAGGCAACCTCCTCGTCGGTAAACTCCGTCATGGATATTCCCTTCACTTTGTGCTGCAGCGAGCGGTGCAACGCGGCACATGTTGAGCAGACAAAAACACGAAAGTTGGTCACCACGTAAAGTGGCCCTCGTATGCCGCAATCGATGCAGAAGCGGTTCCCATTCTTCTGCGATAGTTTCCGCACCTCGTCCCTGTTGCGCTCCACCCGCCGCGCAAGCGGATTCATCGTTGCGTTCTTCGCCTCCCTAATATCGTTCTCGCTTCTGGCAGGCAAAAGAAACACGCAAAAAAAAAAAAAAAGAAAAAAAAAGTTATCAAGTGCCCCAATAGCGCCAAAACAAACACAACAAATAACGCACCAGCAAGAAGGAGCATAAAGCAAAAAAGAAATATATATATATATATATATATATATGATCCAAACGGGAAAAAAAAAAAAAAAGCCACAAACCAAAGATATCATCACCACGTTATTGGCAGCTCAGCAGGATGACGACTATGATGAGAGGTCCTATCCGCTTCTGCCAGCAATTCCCTACTTCTTATATGCGTGCACATTTGGCACTGCGTTGATCACCATATCTTCTTTGGCAAATACAACTGCTGCTACTATCATTTAATAGTGGAGGGGAGAGGAAGGAGAACCAAAATCAACTCCAGGCAGAACCTGTGCCTCTACAACTCGGCAGATCTCCTTTTAAGGCAAAGCCAAGGCCGAATGCGGTCAGAGAGGTAAAGGCCAAGCGTAGCACCAGTGAGCAGGGAAGGGGCCCAAACGGCCACAGTAAAAGCTGAAAGATACGACGCATTTTCTTTCATGCGTGGGTCTTGGCACGAAAAACCACGAGACGGGTCGGCTATTGCATCGGGAACAGAACCGCATTGTAACCCTGGGCACTTTGAGCGGTACATATAGCAGAGTGAATCAACGGGGGGTGCGGCGTCGCCGTCGCAGCTAGCGTCTGCAAGAGCAGAATCGGTGACAAAGCACTGACCATCGGCAGCGCCAAGAGAGCTGAAATAGCGTTGCATGTCCCCCATGGGGCAACCGTTAACAGCGGTGCTGGACATGTACGTATTGCCTTCTGCGTCCATGCACTTAACGTCAAGTGGTTTGCCCGTGTAGCCGCGGCTGCCTGGGCCTCCTGAAGTCCAAGTGATCTGATAAACCTGAACGTATTGCTGTGTTCCTGTGGTCTTGTACTCAAACGCGATGGCATCACCAAACTGCGGCAAAGGAGTGCCACCCACTGTCAGCGTGTTCTTCGCGTCAAAGACACCCAACCCGCTGAGCGCAGCGAATACCACCGGCATTGACCCAACGTAGAAGGCAAGACGGGCCTTGTTGTCGTTGGAGGAAAAACTTGACATCACCTCGCGAAGAAACGGACCGGCCAAGGGACCCATGTGTTTTTTGATTGAATCTCCGGGGTCCGCACCGTACAGGCGCCAAAGAAGGCGGCGACTAACAGCCCCCAGGGCGGCCAACAGCGGTTGCAAAGTGGCATCCGTGCGTCCCTCGGAGGCATTGACACACCAACTGTCGTAGACGTAGAGCGCACACAGCGACGGTAAACTTTTGCACAATCCCTCGTTGTCGGGTGGGAGAAAACGAGAAATGGTTTTAATATCCTCCTCGTTAAGTTTCTCCGAGAGCCATGCGTTATCCAAATGAGAGCTGGACTTCCATACTTCCTGCAGGATCCATGACGGCCAGCTCTTCGTAAAGGCCAGCACCTCGTCATTCCGCTGAGGAGTGTACTTCACAAGCGGTAATGCTCGGGGAAACATGCCCAACGTAACGCCTTGTCCCATGGCAATCGTCCTTGATGTCTCTTCAGCACGAAACGACACAACTGTTGTGTTGAGGTGGTTGCCAAGGTTCAGTAAATTGCCGTAGCGTGACAGAAGAAACTCGCCAAGTCGGAAAGACATTTCTTCCCCCACAGGAGATAACTCGCATGCATCACAACTTATTTTTCCATCCCTGAGACTCGATAGGCCCCGTGCGCCGTTCCGAGCAAGTATTGCAACCCTTTGTAGCGTCAAACCCTGCCCGCTGACTGCGTAAGGCAGCCCCACCACAAGCAGCAGAAGCAGCATCATTAGTCGCATTTGCATTTTTTCACTTCCCATTTAAACTCTTAACAAATAAAAATAAAAAAACAAGCACATGCACACACACACACACACACACAAAAAAAAAAAAAAAGAGAAAAAAGATGTTGTGCAAACACGCACATACACACAGAAATCGGCGTGCATGTGTGTGTTTCTGTAATTCCTATTCACTCTTATTTGTTTTATTATTTTTTTTTTCACTCCCGCGCCCAAATACAAAGCACGAAAACCCCCTCGCAGCCCATACGGCGGCCGCAGTACATAAATAGGACGGGAGGATTACAAATACAACTGTGGAGCGAATCCCCCCTTTTGGAGGACGTGCGACGGGTTTACTTTGCCGGCGGTTCCCCTTGAATAAAACGCTCTGTACTCATTGCCCACTCCTCCTGCGGCAAAACACTCCAGTGCGGGCTGGGTGTCTTTCTAAGCCATTGAAAGTCATCGATTGTTTTATA